TTTTTGTTTGAACGTAGAGAGGTGACTTTACATCTGTTTAGCAAGAGTGAATTGTTGTAATTGTTGCAGAGATAAGTGGAGTGACCCTAAAGGCTTAGGTTAAGTGTGATCAAGGTGTGATCATAGACTTGTAAAATTCCAGTTGTAAAAAGGTTTCTTCAAGCACCTGTTGGAAGCTTGATGATAGTGAAAACGATCAATCTTAGTCTGGACGTAGCTCTCAAGTGGTTTAGAGAGTGAATCAGGATAAACCCCAGTGTGATTCTTCCTTACATTATCTCTTTTGATTTCTATCAATTGAATTTCATTTTGATTATTGATACATGTTATATTGAATCTAGATGAGGGTTTATGATCATTACTTTTATGTTCTAATTCGTTCTTATATGATTTCTTGAAAAGGGTGGACATAAACATTGAAATTCTTCTATTTTCCCTTTCAAATTTGTTCTGTTGCATATTGCCTTTGAATTGATGTTATAAGAATTGTATTAATTCTGTTTTATATTGGGAAAAAGCTTTACGATCAATAAATTTTGTTTTGGTTGAAGTTGTATGTTAAAAAATTGATTTTTTGAATTGTTTCTTGAATTAGAAGTAACACACAATTCACCCCTTCTTGTGTGATTGTTTAGCCATCTTCTCTTTTCAATGTTTCTTTTACTGATGATTTTTCATTATATGTGTGGTTATATTTCTTGCACAGTTAGGATGAAGTATTCGATAAATTCCGCAAGTTCAAGGCTTTGGTGGAAAATTAGTTTGACCGAAAAATCAAGGTGTTGAGAACTGACAATGGAGGGGAGTTATGTTCAACAAAATTTGATCGGTTCTGTACGAGCAATGAGATTTCAAGGCATAAGACTACGCCTTACTCACCTCAACATAATGGGGGGCAGAGAGGTTGAATTAACCTCTCATGGAGAAAGCACAAAGTATGCTGAGCGGTGCAGGCTTGGCAGCTGAGTTTTGGACGGAAGCAGTGACTACTGCTTGCTATTTGAAGAACAGATCTCCTACATCGAACTTGAAGGAGAAGACTCCCTATGAAACACTATTTGGGAAGAGGCCAGACATATCTCATGTCAGAGTTTTTGGTAGTGAGGCATATGTGCATGTACCCAAGGAGAAACGAAGCATGCTTGACAGTGATTCCGAGAAGTGCATCTTTATTGAGTACAAAGATGGCGTCAAAGGGTACAAGTTATAAAATTCGGATACTAAAAGTATAACTTACAATAGAGACGTTCTGTTAAGTGAATCTAAGTCGAATCATATTTTTTCAGAAGCTCCTAAAGAGCTATAGACGGTGGAGTTAGATGTGGGTTTGAAAGAAGATGCAGTAAACTCATAGGTTAGAGTGGAAAATTCAGATTCTGAAGCTACTGAATATAATGGGATAGAAGATAAAGCTTCTCAAAATTGAGGCTGAGGTTGAAGCATCAGTGCTAAGGAGGTCCACAAGGGAAAGAAAACCATCTAAGAGAATTGTGATAATGATGAGAATTGTGCCTTGAGTATTACAGGTGATGATCCAAGCACTATAAAATAATCTAGGAGCTCGGAGGATGCCAAACAGTGAGAGGAAGCCATGAAAGATGAGATGAAGTCTCTGATGAAAAATCAAACTTGGAGTTTGGAGAAACTACTTGCAAATCGAAAGGCGATTGGTTGCAAGTGGGTGTTCAAGAAAAAGGTTGGTGTCAAAAGATTGAACGCTACAAGGCTTGGTTGGTTGCAAAGTGATATTCACATACAGAAAGGATCAATTATGGTGGGGTGTTCTCACTTGTTGCAAAATTGAATTCCATAAGACTTGTTCTGTCTATAGCAGCTGCATATGACCTAGAGGTGGAGCAGTTGGATATGAAGATGGCTTTCCTTCATGGTGATTTGGAGGAGGTTATTTTCATGAAGCAACCAGAGGGGTTCGTAGTAAGAGTCAAAGAAAAGCTAGTCTGCAAGCTGAATAAATCTTTGCATAGCCTGAAGCATTCCCTCAAGATGTGGTACCTGAAGTTTGACACCTATGTGGTGAACCTTGGCTTTGATCGTTGTGATACTGATCATTATGTTTATGTGAAAAGGTTAGAATGTGACTTTGTTATACAAATGTTGTATGTTGACGACAAGTTACTTGTTGGAAACAGTTTGAAGATTATCAACACTGTGAAAAGATTGCTGGCGAAGCAATTTGAGATGAAAGATCTAGGCGCTGCAAATGTGATCTTGGGCATGCAAATCGAGAAGGAGCGTGACAAAGGAATGTTATGGTTAAGTCAGCGGGAGTACATCGAGAATGTTCTGAAGAAATTCAAGATGACTGACTACAAAGCATTGTTGACTCCCATGTCTACCGGTTCCAAGTTATAGGCTGACTAGCGTCCCAAGATTGAAGAAGAAGAAGAGATGGCATCAATTCCTTATGTTAGTGCAGTTGGGAGTCTAATGTATGCCATGATTTGTACTCGGCCTAATATTGCTCAAGCAATGGGAGTATTGAGCAGGTATATGTCCAAACCAGGAAAGGAGCATTGGACGGCGGTGAATTAGGGGTGTAAATGGACCAGGCTAGTCTAGCCTGGCCTATATTTGGCTTGGCCTAGCCTAGCCTTACTGAAAAATAGAGTAGGCTTAGACTTATAGGAAAACCTTTTTAACAAATAGGCCAACTTTGTCAAGCCTGGCCTAAAACCTCGTAGGCTGGCCTATTTAATTTTTTAAAATAATATAATATAATATATTTTCAAATAATTTTTTAAAGTAATTGTTTTTCCTTCTTATTTTTTCCATTTCTTTGACTTTATTCCTTTCTAATATACATTCTAGAGCTGCAGTATTATATTGACTCTTTCTTGTTTGTCATTTTTTATTTCTTATGAGAAATGTGAATGCATGCATAAATGGAACTTCCTTTGCTCTGTAGAATTATTTTTCCTTCTTAGTATCTTCATTTGGAGTCCTATAAGGCCTGTAGACCATATCAGGCTTTATAATTTTTAATAATAGGCCAGGCTTGACTTATAAACGAAGCCTTTAATAGGACAATAGGCCAGATAGGCTGAATATTTTTTTACATAGGCTTAAGCCAGGAAGGCTAAAGCCTGGCCTAGCCTGGCTCATTTACACCCCTACGGTGAAGCATGTATTCTTTTATCTTCGTGGTATGTCTACCCTTGGATTATGCTATAAAGGCATGAAGGGCTCAAGAGGACATGCATTATTAGAGCTGAGGTGCTTTGTGGATGCTGATTGGGGAGGTGACATTGATAATAGAAGATCTACAAGAGGATACGTTGTTTCCTCATTTGGCGAAGCTATCAGCTGGATGAGTAAGAGGCAGAGCATAATTGCTTTATATACTACAAAGGCAAAGTACATGGCCTTGACACATGTTGTCAAGGATGTTATCTGGTCGCAGGTTGTGCAAAGAGCTTGGCTTCGAACAAGGAGAGGTGATTGTTGGGTGTGACAGTCGAAGCGTAATTTTCTTGGCCAAAAACTCAGGTTTCCATGCGAGGACCAAACACATTGGTATACAGTACCACTTCATCAGAGAGAAGATAGAAGACAAAGTTGTATTGCTGGAGAAGGTTGACACAAAAGTGAATAGTGCTGACTTTCTGACCAAGGTAGTGAATTCAGAAAAATTTGAATGCTGACTTTCTGACCAAGGTAGTGATTCAGAAAAATTTGAATGGTGTAAAGCTGCATTGGGACTAAAGAAGTATGCAAAGCATCCACCAAGTGGGAAAATGTTAGGTAAGGGTCATTCTTCGCATTTATTGTCGACTCATGGCTAACTCATTACCAAGTCATAGTTGACTCGTTGTCAACTCATGACCGACTCATTGTATTTTCCTGTTCTTAGTAATTTGGGCTTTGGCCCATGAATAGCTATTGTTTTAAGGGCTTTCTAGTGGCACATAAAGTTGACGAAGGCTGGAATCATAATAACATACCCCTATTCTGTAAAGAATGGCTTGAGAAATCATTAAAGAATACCCGATTCAAATTCAGGCAGAGAAGTTCCCATGTCCGAAGACTCACTTTTGTTCATTAAAAGAAAAAGATGTAAATAAAAATCAAGTGGAAAACATGTACCAGGACAAGCACATTCAGCTACGTAAACCTTTTTATGAATATCTAACCAATTTTTCCCTGCCCATTGGCACATTACGCATTATTGTTAATTTCCGTAGTCTTTAAGTATCCTTCCTGCAACACTATTCTTCACACAATTTCACTCCCAATGCAAGGAAACTCTCATGTTCTTTTTGCACCGAGCAGTTTTATGCAAGATTGGCTTGCAATATTGGGCAATAGATATTTGAGCTATTACAAGAAGATTACAAATGACTATTTGGCTGCAAGCCATGCAAATATGCATTGAAGTCTGAAAAATTCAGTTAAGGACTAAGGTTAAAGGTTTAACTTTTTTTAAGCATTCTTCAGGATAAACTTTTAAAGGTCTAACAGGCTAACTTCCCTTATTTTCATAGATTTGGTATTTCCATATTACAAACCAACCACTCCTCGTTAAACTCCGACAAACAAAGATGAGATTATGACAATTCTTGTACGCAGTTTAACCTTTACATAATTGCAAAAAAGTTATTTCCTGGATTCGAATCTATTACCTTTCAATCATAAAGGAATAATTTTACCACTACTCCAAACTTTCCCTCTTAAAAAAGTATCACTCCCTACTAAACCCAGACTAGCAAGATTGGATGAGAACAATCTTTGTACACAACCTTACCCTTATATAATTACAAAGAGACTGTTTTTCAAATTTGAATCTATCACATTTTAATCACAAAGGAACAGTTTTACCACGATTTTCATGTTATAAACATTTTTATTAAATTATTTCAAGGAAATTAATTCATTGATTGTTGATTGATTCGTAGGTCATGTATATGGAACATGAGCTTCGAGCTTTTGAGGGCTCAACTTGCAAAGAAGACAATACATTATTTTTTACTTCAAAAAAGGGGTATGCTTGCCATCTTATGCTATATTGAAATTGAGCTAATTGAGATTCCATATGTAATAAGCTTTTTACAAGATAAGAGAGCCAAATAGGCTCCCTTAAAAGGCTACTTGCAACAAAAGAGCCAACAAGATTACCAAACAACCATTAATAACAAATATGATGCCAGATTTAGAACAGTAGATCAACTCCTCTTTGCTCTATGCTTTGCTGCATATTTAGTAAACTAATGAGTTGTTCTTCGTCAAGACCCAAGCAAAACATCCCTTGATCCCCAAAATGGTAAAACCGTGGACTTAGCTGGAAGCCATCTTTAATCAAATTGGTTTGCACTCTATGCACCTGTAATGAAAAGCATAAGACTTGTAATTGAATTCAACGTGCTCTCTGCTAGCCTTTTGAAGCCCAATACTCTAGCATGTGATCCTTAAGGGCCAAAATTAACTAGCAAGTGCAATATATTACATTTTGATTTAGAAAATAGTGAATTTTAAGAGTAATGCTATATAGCCAAAATTTTGATAAAGTTCAACTAGATTCAAAGATGGTTGTTAGACGGAATAAAGTAGAAGGAATCACTCACCCATTCAGGAGTCAAGCAGCATGCCAAATCACTATAAAAAATTCAAGCAGAAAAATTATGGCTGAGTTACAAAAAAAAAAAAAATTCTCAATCCTCAGCTTGATTACCAAAAGCTGAGCTGAATTTCACCATCTTAATTTAGGGAGAACAGCATGCACACAAAGACATGATAAATACATAAATGCTCTGTACCATCCAGATTTTAAAACATGAAAGAGATGTTCAAGTTGTATCATAGTTGCTTTTGCTAACTACTTGGCGGTTAGATATGCAATCTAATATCAATTAAGGAATCAGAAATTATAGCAATAAGAATGTAGTTTGTAAAAAACCATTTCAATCCAAAAATTTAAGTTGTTGGATAAGACTACATTAATAGTTTTATACTTCTCTAACATGTCCCCTCACACAAGAGTCCATTGGGCTTGAAGAGTGGATAATGCATAAGCCCATCTACCTGTATTAACAAATTCCACAATACTTAATTAATTAATAATCAAATGAAGGGCAATGGGGATTGAACTCGTGACACCGAGGCTCTAATACCATGTAAAGAACCATTTCAACCCAAAATTTTAAACTGTTAGGTGAAGTTACATTAATGGTTTTATACTTCTCTAACATAATTGATGTAGTTTTAGCCATGAAACATGTATCATGTGACAGTAACATACTGCCTAAAAAATCAAATGGAACCTTAGTACAACGAAAATAACGATGCCTTATTGCGAGGAGGTGGAGTTGACTATGTGGTTATCAATGCAATTCGATTCTTTCAAAAATAAAGTTTACAAAAAAAACCATTTAGAGGCAAGTTCCTTTCATGATTTCTAATAAATTTTTCTCATCTTCCTCTACCCCATGTAATCAGACAATAATTCTTCCATTTGATTGACTTTTCTTACTAGAGCTTCTATTAATCATTTCCTTATATGACCAAACCATCTTTGCCAAAATTTGCATCACTGGTCCCAAGAGATGTGTTATGCAGTAGACAATCAACATAAACTTTGTCGAATCGTTTATGACATAGATTGGAATCCTCTCTTGTTCTTGAATAACAATATATGGTCCTGTTGTAGAGAGAAAGACACAACTTTTTTTTTTAAAAAATATTACTAATATATCCTATAACCTCTCATGATGGGTCCTTGCCTGATAAAAATTGTGTATTTCCCTTGCCAATTGGACCATACTGCTTTATTCAAGATCAGCGGAGGATCCAAACCCTTAGTGTACCCTTTCCATACCTTCCAATCAATAGCAGTCAAAATCCAGGAGATCCATCAAATAAGAAGGCCATGACATTGGTAGGTATGGCAACGGGCGAAGATCTATCCATGTTTAACTCAAAAGTCTGCACTCTAGTGAAAGGAGATGACCGACCATCCAGTAGATCAGGAAACATGGATAGAACCTATCAAAACATACAAGAATTTAGTCCAAAGTACAATAAGCTTAAAAAGAAGAAGGCAAACCCGATGCACAAAGGCTCGGCTCCCTAAACCCCAACTGAGCTCTCAAGGGTTTGCTTGAGTCTCAAACCCTGCCTCAAGCAAATTTTTGAAAAATCTTTAGGAATTGTGCCTCCCTTTTCGAACGGGGGTTTAGTCTCATCCTTCCTCTGGTAACGAAGCTTAATGCACCCGTTGTTCCAATGAAAGATTAGCCTACAGGGCCATATCCCGGGGGCAAGGTGACCGGAGGAGATTGAATGGGGATACCTCTAAGTTATACCAAAAAAAAAAAAAGGCTCGGCTCCCCTACTTTGCAAGGGTAGGGGTGAGGGTTCATTGCTCGCAATCTTACTATTGCATTTTTGCAAAGAGCCTCGTATCTAGACTCTCTTATAACCTTCCAGTCACAAGCGAACAACCTTACCGCTTGCTCCAACGCTAGCAACTATTAATTGACAAAGAAATATACTTACTTCAATGATACCAAATGATAAGGATACACACTTTGCACTCCCCATCGCTTCAAACAATTCGATCAGGCGAAGAGACAAACTAGTGTCCTTGGTCAATTCATCATCATCATCATCATCGAGCTCAAAACTACCCAAATCAATATCCACTTTCTCTACAAAAGGAAGGTCACCCTTAATGGAAAAATCATAAAGATCCGAGTCATGATAGCTAAAAGATTGGAGCTTTGGCGTAAAAAGCTCAATCACACAGTCAGAATCAAACAATTGATCCACTCTCAAACACGATATGCTAAATTCCGTGAGCTGAGGAGCATAGATTTTAAACCTCTGAAACTTGCCATAGTATTGACAACCATGTAGGAACAAACATCTCAAATTGGGACAACCCCTGAAAGCATCAAGAACCTCTTGGACCCCACACTCGAACCGGATATCAAAAAGATACAACTTTTTTAACGAAACAAAATCAAACGTTGTTGTTTCAGTTGCTATGTCAGAAAGCTTAAGGGTCGTGAGGGATTGACAAGCAGAGAGTTGAGGTAAATTTCTAACAACACATTGAGCATTGATGCTAAGAACCTGAATGCCCATTGGTATAACATGGTCAATGATGGAATCTACGATATACTCATCATCTAGTTCTTCGTCACACACAAATTGAAGCATGGAGACACTGGTGGAAGGGTCTCTGCGGGACAAGACATGTTCCACGAAAGAGTGGAAAAGGAAAGACTCATTGAAGGACACGTCGTGGAAATTAAGGACAGGAAGGGAAGTCCAAAGGTACCTCCATCGCTTGCTTAGGACACTCGATTGAACTGCTAATGTTGCATCCAGAAAGGAAAATATGCGATGGATCACTTCATCGGGCAAGTTGCTTAACCTGTCCTCCTTCACTATGCTGCTCTTCTTCTTCTTGGTGGTGTTGCTGTTATCTTGTGTTGCAACCCCTGGAGCCTTCTCGTCTTCAATTTCAATTGAAGTTTTCATCTTTAAAACTGTAAAAAATGAAACATGCACTTCTCTTTCAATTTCTCTCTCCTCTCTCAGACTTGACTTTTCTAGAAATTAAATTCCCTTTCATTCTCTTCCACATACACACCTTATTCTAGTGCAGGATAAGATGGATGTGGCTGAGCTTTGTAGCAGGTGAGATTCTCAATATTATTTTATATGTTTAAAATATAAGGATAAGATTGCGTAAAATTTCACGCTAGGTTACGTTAACTTAAGAAACTCATTAAATTATGTTTAAAATATAATAATAATTAACCCATTAACATATGAGCTAATAAATAAATGACAAGTCCATAAATCCATAAGCTAGCATAAATCAGGCCCAATTTAGTATTTTAATAACATTCAATATATTTGTACATTGTTGTTGGTATCATAGTAGTCTCCTCACTTTCAACTTCAATTCAAGCTTCATCTTTATTCTATTCACATAAATAGACTAAAAAAAAAAACTTGTACTTTTATTTTTATTTTTTATCTCCTTTTTATATCTATTAGAATTTTCTAGAAATTATCTCATTTTCATTCTAATCACGGAAGTCTTATTTTCAATTTTAATAATTGATTGTCGTCCAATTAATAATTTATTTATTAAATTATACCAATTAATTAAATATTAATTTTAAATAAATAACAATCGTAAATGAATAAAAATCAACCGTTAAAATGAAAAGTAAGACTTCTAAATCTTATATCGAAGTCAAAAAATTCCTCCTTATATTTAATACTATGTTTGTATATGAGGTAATAAAATTAATAATACAAAAATACATGAGTCTTAATAAATAAATAATTAAGTGATTGATACTTGGATAAATAAATAAGGAAAATATTAAAAAATTTCCTTGTGATTTTATTTTGAATTTCTTTTATCTTTATGTTTTTTATCACTTATTCCTTTATGATTTTTTCATCCAAATTTATTCTTAACACCGATAAAAATTTAAGTTATTTGTATATTTTTCCCTTCTTGGAAGAAGAAAATAACCTGAGAAAAAAATAAAAGAAGAAATAAGACCAAATATATTAAAAACTTACAACATTTATATAAAAGACTAAAACTAAAATATAAAAAAAATTCCAATTTGTTTAAATCAAAAAGAAGAAAATATATTACCCAAAAAAAATATTGAGGGAAAAAAGAAGAAGAAGAAAAATAAAACCAAACATATTGAAAACTTACAGCAGTAATAGAAAAGACTAAAAATACAAAACAAAATTAAAATATAATAGACTAAAAGTGAAAAAATAAAAATAGAAGAAAAAAAAGGCCAAACATATCTAAATCAAAAAGAAGAAAAAATAATAAGGATAAAAAAGAAAAGAAAATTGAAGAAAAAATAAAATCAATTATGTTTAAAATTTAGTGATTTCTTTTTCTTCTATTTCTTTTTGTTTTATTTTTTGTCTTATTTTTTCTTCTATTTCTTTTTTGTCTTCAATCCATTTTCTTCTTTTTGATTTGTACTTTTTTTTAATTTTAGTTTTTTCTATCACTATTGTAAGTTTTTAACGTATTTGGTCTTATTTTTCTTCTATTTTTTGTCCTTGATATTTTTTTTATTTAAACATATTTGATCTTTTTTTCTATTATTATTATTTTCTTTTATTTTTTTTGTAAGTGTTGTAAGTTTCCAGCATTTGCTGTTTTAATTTTTTTCTCTTTTGTCATCAGTTTATTTTCTTTTTTCTTTTTTTAGAGATATTTCAATCGGTTCACCGCTTCGCAATTAGTCTAATTCAGAGCGGCTCTTGAGTTGAATTGGTTCTTTACATGTTATCAGAGCTGAATTGTATCTACCTATGTAATGTCTATCAAACTTTTGCCATGCATCTAAAGTCTACAAAAAAAAGTGCATGAGTAGCAAAAAATTTGTATCTACAGTGTTAATGTCTATCAAATTCTCCACATGTATTTAAAGTCTATTTCGTGATCTGAACGACCCGAAAAATATAATGCATCCATTTTTGATCCAAAGTCTAGGTTTTCCTTGAGAAGCTGAGAAAACTCCTCGTCGACAAAATCTTTCAAATGCCTGAAACATATCAAATTCAGAGACACGATGTCGTACTTTTCGTCCAAAAGGAGGAGGCCACACGCAGTTCGAAAAACCCGGCAAGCCTAGAGTCACCGGTGTACAAGAAATCCACAAAGGCTTTTTTTTTTTTTTTAGTACAAAGGAGGGGCAAGCCCCAAAAAAAAAAAACTAAGATAAAAAGGCCCTGGTATCCAGGGACAGCAAGGAGCCCAACCCTACAAGGGCTTCTTCCAAAATGGTAATCTCTTCAATGCTTCCACAATTGTAACTCGCCAACCAGTCAGCGCATCTATTTCTCTCCCTAATGTCGTGGTTAAAGAGAAGTTGCCACTCTTCTTCTTCCATCCTCTAATGCTATTAATAATCTGACCCATGACTTCTGTCTCCTTGGGGTTGTTAATTGCAGCAATTGCAATTTCTGAGTCACTTTCTACCAACAGGCTCCTTTGTTCCAAGCGACTTGCAATCCTATCAAAATTGCCCACAATTCAGCCATCCACAAAGGCTTTTAGGCATGCATATGATATGTCATGGATCCCCGGATGATTCTATCACAATCATCACTCCAATGATCCTCAAGCATCGAACTAAAAATGTAGATCACGATGCCAATATTTGAGCGTGCACAACCACACCTGTAGTGGCGGAGTCAGGATTTAATTTTAGCCGAGGCCAAAAAATTTGACATATCAAATTACTAAAATATTTTCGTAATTACACAAATCTATCAGAAAAAATTTACCTAAAATTTTTAAAATAATAAGATTGATGTTATTTTAACAAATTATAAATATTTATTTAAATTATAAAATATAATATAAAATTAAATTAGTAAATAAAGTGCAAATTATATGTATATATACATATATGAAATTTTCATATGATTTTTATGAACATTATTTCATGTAATGTTAATCAAAATTTATTTCATGTGATGTTTGTGAATACATTTTTTATCTTTTATATTTTGATTCTGGAGAAGGTTATACTTACAACCTATTTTCGTTTACAACATTTTACAACTATATCTTAACCGTTGATTTCCACCAATCAACGGTTGTCATTTATTGTAAATTAATAAATTTGATTTGTTATATATACTTATATAAGTAATTATAATTGGGCCCTAGCTATAATTGTAAGTTGGCTCTAGCTAAAATTGTAACAGTGGTAACACAGGAAGATTTGGAGCTGCTTTGCGTGTATGACCAGATAACAGATTGCTTTCTTCTTAATTTCTTCTTCTTCTTCTTTCATCCTTTTTCCAATTAGGGTTTTCTTCTATCCTTTTTTTTCTTATTCGCAATCACCACCCGGAACCTAGCCATTTTGCGACAAGGTACGATGTTTCGTTCACTTCTCAAGACTTTACGGATATATGTTCTTAGAATATGCATTGGTAATTATATTGTCCGCGGGGGAAAATTGATTTACATTTTTGAACCTTGTAAAAGAGAAATTCTTTGTTTTTGTTGACCATAATTGTTTATTGAGTGTTTCTAACATGAGTGAAATTCTACCCCTTTTTTGTGGTTGTATTTATTGATTTTATTTCTTTTGAAAAATGGAGTGCTGTTTTAAGTTTACCTTTTTTTATTTTTTTTATTTTAATGTAGAGCTACAGTTGCTATTGGTAATGATATTGAATTGTTTCTTGGTGTTATTTGTATTTGATTTCACAACAGGAATAGGAATTTTAGCGATTAATCAGTGAAAACTGTTAAAGAGAAAAATCAACGAAGATATATGTATATATATGGAGTATGAAAATTTCTTGTACATATTCATTAACAACTTTTTTGTTTTTTTTTGTTTTTTTAAAATTTATAAAATATCTAAACACTGATTAAATTATTTATGTGGATCCAATGTCATTTAAATCATTTTAGACATTTCTCGCTGATTGTTCCATGTTTCTTTTTAATTGTGAAGTTTGTTGTCCCTCTACTTCTTCACAGGTCACGACTAGGGGTATAAATGGCGCAAGTTAGGCTAGGTTTTGGCTTTGATAGCCTAGCCTATCTAAAATATTTAGAGCCTATATTGGCCTATTAGTCTATTAAAGACTTGATTTATAGGTCTGACCTGACCTATTATAAAAAAATAAAAAAAATTAATACGACCTATAAGGCCTGCCAAGTTGTAAACTAAAGTTTATAGGCTCAAACCAAATTAAAATATGAGAAAGATTATACTTACAACCTATTTTCATTTACAACCTTTTACAACCATATCTTAACCGTTGATTTTCGCCAATCAACGATTATCATTTATTGCAAATTAAGAATAAATTAATAAATTTGATTTGCGAAAATCTTAACCGTTGATTGACGGAAATCAACGGTTAAGATATGGTTGCAAGAAGTTGTAAACGAAAATAGGTTGTAAGTATAACATTCCCCTTCAATCTTAGTTTAATAATAATTATCAAGGAAAATAATTAATTTCATAAAATTAGGTAAGAAAGTTTATTTTTATTTTATTTTTGCAATCTCAAAATCAATACACCATAATATGTAGTTTCTTTCATTATTTATCAAGAGCGAGAAAATCAATATATTATGAAATATGTTGGTAAAAATTGTTTAATAATATTATTATGGATAAAACAAAAAATGCTTAAAGAGTGAACAAAAATTATGGTTTTAATAGAACTTTCAAATTAATCAACCCAACACTCAAAGAGTAAAGACATCGGCTAATAATTTATTACAAAAATAATAATAATTAGCATAAGTGGTAGAGAAGAATTAGGCAAAATAAATTAACTGGTATTAGTTGATGTTCAAGCTCTATAATAAGAATTTTATTGCAATTTATGCTTATACCAGTTCAATGCGTAAATTAGGCAAAATAAATTAACTAAATTGAACATATTTTCGGTAAATTGTAAAAGATATAAATTAGGAGTTGAAAACGCTAACTAGAGTGCAGGTGGAATGAACTGGAATAGTAACCATTGCACCACAAATTTGCCAATTATTTACCAACCTGCCACACAAACAGTAAAATTTGTCAAA